TGGATGGAGTTCCCCTGGCATGAAGGCTGCCCCTAATGAAGTGGTGAGTTCAGCCTTCATTTGGATGCAAAGCTGAGGGGGGACAAACACCAGTATTTTTCAGCCCTGGCCCTCTTCTTATTGCCTCATCCTTTGAGGGGAAGGCTAAAACCCTCATGTGCAATGCATGCTGGCTTTGTGCTATTAGCAGCCCAACCACAAATATTTTCAAAAAAAAAATTCAAACACAACACTTTCCAACTGAAATTGAAGTCATGCAAAGCAACACACAGGCAGATACACCACAGCTACATCTTCTGAAATTGTAAAGGCATATTAACACAAACACAAAACAAAAAACAGAGCTCAGGTTCCTTCTCCAATCACACACAAAGTGTTAAAGCCAGACATGACTCACTCAAAACTCTGATTTTAAGCTTTCCCTGAAACTATGCATTTTATCATAAATCTAATTTAAAGATGTATTTGATGAAAATTCACAGATACTGAAAGCCACTTGCATCATTCCTTCGAGCTATTTTATAGCAAACACCACTAGCTCTGCCCCACTTCAGAGAACAGAAGACACACCTTGGTAGCAATGGCAGAAACTGCAGCTGTTCGCTTTGCTGTGATGACACTGCCATCCAGGACCTGTAGAAAAATTCAAGCAGAAGGAAATGAACACTCAAAATGTGAGTAAATATGAAACGTTTTCATCCAATTTGTGAATGAAGTGATATTACAGATATAAAAGATGCAGACATATAAAAGTTGGCAATTACTGGTACAGCAACCACAAACCATACAAAGTCACACTTTCTCCACAAATGGAGTCCGAATGGCCAGAGCTGAACCACCCCAAATTCACCCAGCTCCTCATGCACTGCACTTCCCTGGCTCTCCAGCACTGGGAATACATGGATATATCCTAGTTCCCTGCACTCCAGTAAGACCAGGGACCAGTGCAAGCTGGCAGTGGTTCACCAGTCTGCACTGTCTTGCTCTGTACAATGAGGTGACTGGGAGCTATGGAATTCCTTTAATGGGTATCACACACGGGGCACTCCTGCCTCTGTGTGCATTAGCCACAAACAGATTAGGGAGGCTTAAAAACTGTCAGGTTTGGTATAAGAGACCAAGATAGTTTTCTTGACCAGTTTTTGCCCTTTAATAATTATTTTTACTGAAGTCTAAATGCAAATCATTAGTATTCTTAAAAAATTTCTACATTCTTTAAATAGAGGGAAAAAAAAGCAGACTTTGAATACTATTCCCTGCAATGCAAATTGTGAATCTCTTTCAACTGAGAATTAAGATGGCTCAAGATCAATTCTTTATTCAGCAAGGTGTTTGGGGTTTTTTTCCTTTCAAATGCAGGGTGAACTTTTCTTGATTAGAGTTTACAGAGGCACTCACGAGACTTACAGCTTTCAAAGAACCATTGCGAGGGTCAAACAAGAGGACAGTCGCTTGGTGAGAAGGGGCAGGGGAATCCTTCAGGTGCTCATAGAAAGTCACCAGCTTGGTTGTCAGAGCATCATCGGCAGCGCTGTACGCGGGCATGACGCCGAGGTACCTTAGGAGACAATTCCCTGTATTACCCACGGACTTTCGCAGCGGAGCCCGCAGCCGTCGGGCCGTGACCATCAGTGGCCACCGGCCGGTCCATCGCTAACTCGGCACCGAGGGCCTTTCCTGGCGCTCCAATTCCTCCCCCCCGGTGCCTTCCCCGCCCCCCGGCGCCGCTGCCCCCGCTCGCCCTCCCCGGGTGCCTCGCCCCGCTCGGGGCTGGGCGCTCACCCGCCGTGCCCGGGCACGGCCAGCACGGTGCGCAGCGGCTGCACGACGCCTCCCGCGGGGCCCGACGAGAAGTTGCCCAGGGCGGCCTCCAGCGCCGGCAGCAGGAGGCTGGCGCGGGGCAGGTGCTTCTCCACCTCCTCGGCGCCGATGAAGGCGGGCGGAGCCGAGCCCATGGCGAGCACCGGCACCACGGGACGGCACCGTGCGGGACTGCGACACCGCCCGCGCCGCCGCCAAGAACCCGCCGCGGAACCGCCCCGCGTCCCGCCCCGCCGGGCCCGGCCCCGCCTCGGCCCCCTCCCGGGGTAATCGGGACTTTTCAGAAGCAAAAATAGCTCGGCTGCCCACACCTGGAGATGTGCAGAAAAAGGCTTCTTTTAAATGCTGTACTTCGGATGCGTGCCTTGTACTATCTGATTAATAGCTCTTAAGCGCTGTAACAACCCGTATTCATCCGAATGTGATTTCCTCACCGGCAAAATAGGGGTGTTATACTCCAATTGAAATTCCACTAACAGCCCGTGTTGTTGAAATGTATCTATTAGTTTTTCCAGCCCCCTCTTCACACTTTGTTTTATAAGACCTTGTTTCTGCCTTAGCGGTTTGACATCAGGTTTTGATGATGCTCTCACGGGTTCTGATTGTCCTGGGACACCCATAGCACATAGCAAGGGAATAACTGTGTTTTCTCCCTCAGCCAGGATTTCTTCTTCTGATGGTTCAAGTGACTGTAACATAAAAACTTGGGCTTCCAGAGGCTTAGGTTCAGGGATATGAACTTCTATTTTTCCTTCATCAAAAGTTATTTGTGCTTCTAATTTGCTTAAAATGTCTCTTCCTAACAGGGGCATAGGACAGTCTGGACTACCATATATAAAAATTGATGTGTTAACCAATTTTTTTTCCCAATTTTAAATTTCAGACGTTGAAAGAATGGCCCATTTTGCCTTTCTCCAGTGGCACCAAGTGCATTAATAATTTCCTGACTAAATTTTCCTTTACATGTATTTAAAACCGAATACACGGCTTCGTGTATTCAATACATAGTATCTACTATGAAATCCATTTTCTCACTCCCCAGTGTTAATGTAACCAGAGGTTCAGCTGGGGATGACACCTCTGGTCCCTGTCACACATCTTCACACGTCAGGAGCCATCCTGTCTGATCGGGAGCCCTGGGTGGAATCCAGGGTCCGGCAGCTCCTACCTGTCCCTTTCCCCACTGACATTCCCACTTCCAGTGGCCCTTCTCTCGACAAATAGCACACTGATCCCTGTCCAACTGCCTGTGTTGGAGTCAACCTCTACTAATTCCTCCTCTGCCTCTCCCCTGCAGTGCCCCTGTTTGGGGGCTTTTTTCCACTAACGCAGCTACTTCCACACTGCATCCAACAACTTACTCAAATTCCTCCCAACATATCCAATACTACCGGAATATCACTCCAGTCAGGGTCCTGGGTTCAGATAATGCCTTCAAATACCTTCACAGTTTTCCCTGCGTCTTCCCTATAAGTCCCTACTAGCTGTTTTAAGTAGCACTGGCTCATTAGTTCCGATTGCTCACCTCAGCGGGGCTCGCAAAACAGCCCCGGAGTTCCAGCTTGTTTGGTACCGCAGCACGGAAACAGCAGCACTGCCCTGGCCACCTGCCAGCCCAGGCACATGGCCAGGGCTGCTGTCAAAATGCTCCCCGGCACAATTCAGTGAGGTGAGCAGCGGTACAGCAGCAGCGAAAGCAGAAAGTGGCCACTAACAGGCACTAGACTCTCATATACAGTCAGGCAAGTGAGTGCCGGGGCGAGCACGGGGCGAGTACAGCTCATTATCAGCTAAACAGCACTAACAGATCCTAATCGTGCCAAAAGGTGTGATTTAACTCCAGCCAGCACCACGCAGCTGCTGGCTCAGTCTCCCACCAGTGGAATCAGAGAAAGAATTGGAAGGGTACGTGAAATTCATCCACCGCTTCCCATGGGCAGGCAAGTGTGCAGCCATCACCAGGGGAGCAGGGCCCCACCACGTGTAACAGTTACTTGGGAACACAAACGCCATCACTCCAAACACCTCCCCCCCCCCACGTACTCCTTCTGTATCCATTCTATCCCCTCTCCCAGGGGCTACCAGCATATCAACCTCCTCTTCCTCTGCACAGCCATAAGTCATACAACACTTCCCAGTACCACAAGCCGAGCAGCATCGCTTAGATTCTTTTTTTTCGTGGTCTTTCTCTAAAGCCAAAATCATAGGATCACTTGGTAACATATCACACTCTTTTTTGATTTTTCCTTTTTTGTTTTTTTCCCATTCCAGATGATTAGACAGTGTGAAAACCAAATCCACATGCAACACCACATTCCATTTCCTTTCCCAACAATAAAACAACATCAATTGTAACATTGTATTGTAATTTAAAGTTCCATTCATTGGCCATTTTTCACCATCATCCAAAAGAGTACAAAGGCCACCAATTATTACAATATTCAATTCACACTGTTTCCTGGAGAGATTGCACCTTCCATCTCCCTCCAATGCTTCAAAATACAGCCTAGGGGGATTTCTCCAAAACTCACTTTTGGTGATAGACCAGAACCCATCACACAGAATATAATAAACCAATTAAACTTCCCTTTGAGAGGGGTGTGCAACACCCACTCACACACCTTAGAGCTTGAAACACAGGGCACCTGTGTAAGCTTGCCTACAAAATAGCCCTCAGGGCTTTCAGTCTGTGGCAGTGGGGCTTTGACCCACAAGGTACCTTCCTTTTTACTGTTTTCACTATTTACAATTTTTAACCTTCCCCAGGGCTGGCACTCAAGGCCTCCCTGTAGATAGCAGAGCAAGCCCAAAACCTGGTTTCCAAACTCCCTTTACCTTAATCCAGTGAGACTTTCCAACAGCTCTGTTATACCCCCCC